AAAAAAAAAAAATAAAATGGTATTTATTTGACAATGAGTCTACCTTTTCCCAGGCGCTATATGGCGTGGATAGGCAGGGGTGAAATTTTGATTGTTAATCACAAGTAACAGAATTACTGTAAAGAGACTCTGAGTAGAAGACCTAAAGATACATGGAAATGCAATTTTGCATTTTCTCTATCTCCTTCTCTACTCAATCTAGGTGGGAGAATGAGAATGATTATAGCAGTTATGGAAATAGCAAAGCTATGTGGAATTTTGTAAATCACTTTCAACTCCACTTACTTATCCCTGAGTCAGTGAATCCCACAAATCTGTGAGCATCTTAAGGGCAGAAACCACATCTCATCTCTTGCATCTGGAATTTCTAACACTAGGATCACTGGCATCACGGAATGGGGCCAATGTTCTTTAAATATTTATTTTAAACATTTTCTTTCACAGAGATTTACCTTTTGAATTTGTGTGGTATAAGGGATAAAACGTTGAAATTGCATCTCAGGACATTTATATAAGAATGAAGAAAATGCTGTGAACTATAAAAAGTAGTGGTAAAAGAAAGGGTGAAGAGTTTGCATTCCAGGAAAGAGAGTGTAACAAATGATAGGGTCAAGTTGGAGCAAACAGCATAAATTAATTTTCTCACAGTTCTGGAGGCTGGAAGTCTAAAATCAAGATATTGTCAGGTTTTGGTTTCTTCTGAGGCTCTATTTGCTGGCAGATAACCTCTTCTTGCTGTGTCCTCACATGATTTTTTCCTCTGTGTACCCATTTCCCTGGTGGCTTTCTGTGTGTTCAAATTTCATCTTCTTATAAAGACATGAGCCAAACTGGATTTCATGCTACTGTAATTATATCATTTTACATTAGTTATCTTTTTAAAGACCTAACTCCAAATACACTCACATTCTAAGGTACTGAAATTTAGGGTTTCAACATATGAACTTTGTGATGGGGTATAGTTTAGACCATAGCAATACCATATGTGTTATATTATGAAAAAATATTATGTAATTGGATGTTATATTTTATAATAAATTTTGTATGGATATATTTGCAGTAATATATTTCTTGTCATTTGTGTCTGGTGTGGACTGAATTGCGCCCCATCCCGAATTCGTATGTTGAAATCCTAACCCCCAATGTGATTTGATTTGGAGATAAGGCTTTTACGGGTGTTATTAAGGTTAAATGAGGTCATAAAGGTAGGGCCCTAATCCAGTCAGGCAGATATCCTTTTAAGAAGAGAAAGAGATGCCAGATTTCTCTTTCTCTCTGTCTCTCTCCGAGCATAGAGAAAATATTATGTGAGTATACGGTGAGCAGATGGCCATCTACAAGCCAGGAAAAGAGGCCTCACCTAAAACCAAATTTTTGGCATCTTGATCTTGAACTTACAGCATCCAGATGGTTAAAAGAATAAATGTCTCATTTGAGCCACTTATCCTGTGGTATTTTGTTATGGCACCTTGAGCTTACCAATATCATATCTAATATCCTTTGATACAATTTCACTTGTTTGTAATTATTATCATTTTTATGTTGTCATTACTTTTCATTGAAAATAATAACATTTTTAAAAATTTAAAATTTGGGTAGTGTAAAACAAAAACAGAAGCAGACTATGAACATATTCTGCCCTACATTGTAACTGTAAAGTAGACCATCACAAGATTATAAAGCTATTATAACTCTTATTTTTAAATTCCATTGAGTTTTTAAATAAATAATTAATTCACCAAAATAAACATACCTATGAAAAACAACTCACATCCTCTTATATGTAAATTTGGTTCCACTCGTGATTTTCACTTTTATCCTTATAAGTTTTATATCCTGGGCCGGGTGCTGTGGCTCAAGCCTGAATCCCAGCCCTTTGGGAGGTCAAGGCGGGTGGATCACCTGTGGTCAGAAGTTCAAGACCAGCCTGCCCAACATGGTGAAACTCTGTCTCTACTAAAAATACAAAAAGTTAGCCAGGCCTGGTGGGGGGGCACCTGTAATCCCAACTACTCAGGAGGCTGAAGCAGGACAGTCGCTTGAACCTGGGAGGCATAGGTTGCAGTGAGC